TGTGTTCCCAGAGCAGCAGAAAGATGCTGTCGCTGAAGTTGAGCAAGAGAAGGGCAGAGGGGTATAAGATGGGGTTAAAATGAGCAAGATCATGTAAGGATAACATAGGCTATGGTAAGCAATTTAGATTTTATATTTATGCAATGAGAGGCTTATGGAAGTTTCTGAGCAAAGGAATGATATAATCTGATTTATCTTTTAAGATTAGCTGCTCTGTGGCTAGTGGGTTATAGGGTTGCAAAAATGGAAGCTAGACCAGTTGGGAGATATTACAATCCCCAGGCAAGAGGTGGCAGGCCCTGCCTTGGACTGAGGTAGTAACCTAGAGGTGATAAGAAGTGATCAGATTTTGAACATACTTTAAAACTAGAACTGCAAGATAGAACTTTCTAACTGTTTTCACATTAATCGTGAGGAAATAAGAAGAACTAAGGTTGCCTTCTAGGTTATCAACCTGAAAAGAGTTGAACAGTGTGCAGTTATGAGATGCAGAAGACTTGGGAAAAAGCCTAGATGAGGGCTCCCAAGAGCAGATGCTCTACAAATGCTAATTCGGTAATTTAAAAACAAAAAACTACAAATTAATACCATTGCAAGCTGTTTATATAAGTGATAATAAGTACACAGCTTCAAATTCCAGATCTGTAGCATTTTTAAAAGTAGCAAAAGTAATCAGAGCAGGAACAAGGAGAGAATATCCCAAGAAAAATCATCTTTAGGAAGCATAATTGAAGATCATTTCAGACAATTGTAGGACTTTAGCTTCAAACTCCACAAATTCTAAGAGCTCTTACATTAATTAAAATTGGTTTAAAGTTATTTGTTGAATGATTAACAATGATTCGATTCATTTATCTCTCACTTATTTAGCAGAAGACATTACTGTTTAGCATTAAAAGACTCTCCTACCTCAAGATACTCATGATTTCAGAGAAGTTAGAACAGAAAAGCTACATCATCTTTATTAATTGTCACGATTGTAATCAGCTGAGAACTTTCAACTTGACCTCTGTGTAGCACTCAGAATAGATAAAGATTGGTTGCTACGATATCTTAATAACATAAATATCCATTCCATCAAGCCAGGCTCTGTAAATTCATCTTAGAGTTTAATAGTGAAGTACCTGCTCCTTAATTGGTAAGGTTTGATTAATATGTCCTTTCTTACAACCACACAGCCCATTTGCAGTAGGTTAAATTTGTTTCATTTTTCAAGTTACAACAGTGTAGGGACTTCTGCTTCCCTCTCTTCTCTGATGTAAAGTATTACATCTAAGAAATGTGCACTAACCTATTTTTAGTGATATTCTAGACACTTAAATTCAAAGCTCTAGACAGGTAATAAAGCATTATTTCTTGATGGTTTTATAAAGATCCAAAGACTAGACATTGGAACAAGAAGCATCATTCCATTTGTATAGAATTTTTGAGGAAGGGGAATAGGGGGAGTTTTCTTTTGCTATTTATCACCTAAGATTTGAAATTTTTGCCATTACACTGCTCAGTAAACCCTAAGGATAGCTTCCAATTGGTCTGAGTTACAATAATCTTGTGAAGATTTACTGCTGAGTTTCATGTTATTGTAAATGAAGGAAATTCTACTTACAGTCCAAATATCAAATGCAGCTTCACATAGGGTCAGGCAACATCAATGCGCCACAGGCTTTTGTCATAAATCAGATACTCTGGAACAAATTCAGAGCACTGACTTCCCAAGTTTCCATGTAATATTCTGTACTATTTTTTCCTTTGAACACACAGAGGCCAGCCGTAAATCATACACTAACGTAAAAACTAGGAGACTGTTTCTCCCTGGAATAAAACTAAGTTAAGGGCTGATTCAAGAAAATACTACTATTGGCAGGGAGTGGGGCAGCCTTAGAGGACAAGCAGAGGCACATTCAATCCCTGGCTATTTAACAAGATCTGCTAATTCTATGCTGAATCTGTTCACACAAGACTCCTGTCCCAAATTGCACCATGTATTTGCTTTCATTTTATTCCAAGCAAAGAGTGGTTTTCTGTTCTATAACTGCTGGCTGGCCGTTTCATGTGCAACTTACATAATCATCTCCATAGGCCATGGAGAAGTTTTGTTTGTGTCAGTAAAAATCCCTATCATTGTTTTTTTTTTATTCTTTCTTTATGAGACCAGCATTCTTCTTCTGCTCCGATCATCTCACCTTTAATAGATAGTCCAATTTAATGAGATCTTTTCAAAATGTCTCTAACTTGGTTCTTTTCTGAAATGACTCTTTAGAACACAGTGGTCATGAAACACCGTGCACTGTGTTCAGCACACAGCACCAGACAAGGGAGAAACCCTCATTCTCGACATCAAACTGCGTGAGTTGGAACAGGGCTGTGCGTGCCTGGAGCAAGGAGTGTTTTTCCTTATTCACACAACCGGCAAGCAACACCTCTGTTTTTACCCTACAAATCCTAGAAGTCCAGACTTCCCCGCGGCTATCACAGCAGGCAATTCTAACCAGCTTCTACTCTGCAGACTTGTCCAGGCTAAAAGCCTGGTACCAGCATCTGTGCCTCCCAAAACTCCAAGGTACACAGTCAATATCCCAAAATCTGTGTACCCATATCCAACGCTGAACCCATGAAAAACTGACCCTACCTTAATGTGAATGGTGAATACAATGGATCAAAATCTTAAGATACGTGCATGCGTGCTAAATGGCTTCAGTCATGCCTGACTCTGCAACCCTATGGACTAAGCCTGTTAGTCTCCTCAGTCTATGGGATTCTTCAGGCAAGAATACTGGAATGGGTTGCCATGCCCTACCCCAGGGGATTTTCCAGGGATTGACCCTGTGTCTCTTATGTCTCCTGCATTGGCAGGTATGTTCATTACCATTAGCGCAACCTGGGAAGCCCCAAACAAAATATGATATTAACCAATCAAATCTAGCTGAATATTTAAAATTAATATTCTTTGTGCTTATTCCACAAGTGTATGTTACATTAAGAAATGTATGTTACATTAAGAAATGTATTAATAAAGTTCATACTATAAATAGATCAAGTAAGAAAAAACAACTCAACTTGTAATACATTGAAAAAAGGCATCTGATAAAGTTTAATATCCACTCTTAAAAACTGAATAGAAAGATGAATATTAAAATCAATCACAAGTTGTCCAGCCTCATACTTAAACACTGAATGCCTGACCATTCATGCCAGATAACAGCAAATATTAGTAGGTCCCAAATAATAATCATTCTCTCCACAAATAATGTATACCTGATTACTCTGAATCAGCCAGTCAATGCAATTAAATAAGAAAATAAAATATAAGTGAAAAGTAATGAAATAGGGGAAAACATTTAAATATTTGTCTACCTAGAAAAAAAATAAATGAATTAACTAAGAAGCCATTAGGAATAAGAAAGTGAACTCAGTGATTTGGACAACTAAGCCAAAAAATTAATATGTTTCCCAAGTTAGAAAATATAAAGAAAAAATATTTCACATGGGATAGTAATAATAAATGGAAAAGAACTAGAGAAGAAATTGACTTCATAAGAAATTAAATCATTTATTTGAAGAAAATTATAAAATTTTAGTCAGAAGCATAAGAACCAAATGAATATGTGGAAAACATACAGATAATGAGATAAGAACTTTTTAATAAAAATAGAACTTCTCCAAATTAAACTATAGATTTATTTCAGTTTCAGTCAGAATACTGAATAATTTTCAGTGAATTGATAAAAATTATCTTAAAGTTCTCTGGATATCGAGGAAAATTATGCAAAGGAAGAATGAGAAAGGACTTGCTCTTTCAGAATCTAAAATGTAGCCTAAATTTGTCATTGAGAAATTGTGTTATTTTCAAAGCAAAGAATAACACTAATATACAAAATTTGATAGATAAGGATAAAGATGACTTCAAGTTGATACAGGAAAGATAAATAAGTTAATAGAGTTGGGATAATGCTCAAGTAATATGGAAAAATGTATCGGATAGATTCCTGCTTCATCCTTATCATAAAATGAGTTGGAAATAAAGATTAAATTTAAAAGCAAAACCATAAAAGTGCCACAAGCATATAGAGATTATCTTTATATGCTTGGCATAATACATTATATGATTTTATATAATGTCACATTATAGATGCAGAAATATAAACACAACATAAAAATTGATAATCATAAAAGAAAATATGCTTGACCTCACATAAATTTAAAACATTTGTTTTAGACATCTACTGAAAATTATAGCATTGATATATATGCAAGCAAAAAGGTTATATGCCTATATATATAGCATGATTTCATTTTGGAAAAAATGAATAAGTATATGTTTAAATAACATGACTATATTATACAATTACAAAGTTGGATGTTTAAAAACATAAAGATCTGTACATCTGTGTCTCTTAGACTTTTGGACCCTGTGGGAGAAGGCGAGGGTGGGATGTTTCAAAAGAACAGCACCGAAACATGTATACTATCAAGGGTGAAACAGATCACCAGCCCAGGCTGGATGCATGAGACAAGTGCTCAGGGCTGGTGCACTGGGAAGACCCAGAGGGATGGGATGGGGAGGGAGGTGGGAGGGGGGATCGGGATGGGGAACACATGTAAATCCATGGCTGATTCATGTCAGTGTATGACAAAAACCACTGCAATATTGTAAAGTAATTAGCCTCCAGCTAATAAAAATAAATGGGAAAAGAAAAGACAAAAACCCATAAATCTCTTTTGTCTTGAAGTAAGTTTATTTTCTAAATCTGGATCACCAACTAGCCAGCCTTACATCAAGCTGTTTAATTCAGCTCTTGCATTATAATTCTGCCCCATCCCCTGATTTAGTAATCCTCTTAGATTGTGTAAATCAGTTACAGTTTGGTTCTCTAGTGTATCCTAGATATTTTTCTCCCCTCATTTTCTAGCTGTCAGTGTTCCGGGGTATCAAGCACCTGCCTTCCGCGGGCTGCAGCTGGCCACCTACGTGTAGTGGAGAGAAGCTGTGAAGAGAAGTGATGAAATCAACTTCCTATGCTATATTCCGCCACTTCTGTCGGGGTAGTCTACTGTCTCTGAACTGCATCAGGAGGAGTGCTGACAGGGGCTGCGTTTGGCTGCTGGCAGCAACCTGGAAGGGTGACCTCTCAGAGATGCGGCAGCTCTGCCCCTCTCTCTTCCATGCCACATCAGGTGGCCCTCTCAAGCAAGTCATGAGGCTCATCCCTCTTCAGCTTACCGCCAGCGACTCTTGGACCGGGAAGTACCCTGGAGACCGGGGTGGGGGCAGCTGGAGGCCCTTCTCTTATCTAAAGGAACCAGGTGGCCATCTCCCTTGCTTTATCAATGCAGGATGGTGCCGTCCACCTGCCTGCCACTTTTCAACTGCGGCCAGAAGACCGTGCAGCCATCTTCTTTTCTCAAGTATCTGCATACTCCTTGGGGGCTTCTTATATTTCCGACCTGCTTTTCAACTTGGTATTCGGTACAAGGAGGCGTTCCCAAGTGGCACTAGTGGTAAAGAACTCGCCTGCCAAGGTAGGAAATGTAAGAGATGTGGGTTTGACCCCTGGGTCAGGAAGATGCCCTGGAGGAGGACGTGAAAACCCACTCCAATATTCTTGCCTGGAGAATCCCATGGACAGAGGAGCCTGGCGGGCTACAGTGTCAAAGAGTTGGACACAACTGAAGTGACTTAGCACTCACACAGCCCAGCACAAGGAGTCAGGGAACAAAACGAAAAAACTCAGGCCAGTTTTCCCTCTCTCCTTCATCTAAAACTCGATTCCTCGCTCTGCTCAACATGGTTCAAAGTACTTTACTATGTGAAAGGGAGTGAAAAGCAGGTTCCTCATCTCATTACCTCAGCAGATGTGTTTGGTCTCAGCAGCCCTTCCTGCTCCATAAGAACTCATGATCTAAATGGGAGATGGTCACAAGAAGCGGAAGAGAGAAGTATATGCTCTTTGATACTGCAAGTTGTTACAAGGAATTATTATTTCATATTTCATTCTTTACATGTATATCTGTATATACACATATTTATAAATACTGTTGATATGAATCCAGAGATAGATGTAGCCAAAGATATACAGAGAAAAAGAGATTGATAGAAACGAGCTTGCAGATGTTGCTGTTGTTTAGTCACTCAGTTGTGTCTGACTCTTTTGTGACCCCATGGACTGTAGCCCATCAGGCTCCTCTGTCCACAGGATTCTCCAGGCAAGACTGGAGTGGGCTGCCATTCCCTTCTCCAGGGGATCTTCCCAACCCAAGGATTGAACCTGCGACTCCTGTTTTGGCAGGCAGATTCTTCACCATCAAGCCACCAGGGAAGACCAGCTTGCAAATGATACATATATAAATGTTAAAAGCGGTTGAGAAGTGTTTCACACTTGCCCAACATTTATTACATTTTGGATAAATACTAAAAAAAAAAAAAAAAGGTGTTTAAAATGTGATTTTCTAAATTCACAGTTGTCCAAGCAATCTTCTAATTCACCTGGGTCACAATTATGTTTCAAAAGTGTTGAGAAAACCACTGAATCATGTAGCCTCATTTATCAATGTGGCTTAAGCCTTCATTTGAAAAACTCTTTCTAGGAGAAAAACAGACTACATCAGAATGTGTACAATTATGTGTTTCATTAGGCAAAGCAGAAAGAATCCGTAAAGTAAAATCCTGCTTTACTTTCCAGATATTAAAGCCACTGGGCAGTTAAGCAGGGTTACCAGGTATTATCTTTCTAATTCCTACCACGTGCTGCAATAAAAAATCTCTTTAGCATCATTTTGATATATGGTAACATAAAGTATTTATACATTAATATACATTGTAATATACAGTGTAAAACTAACATTTGTTTTTTAATAAGTGCTTATCAATTCAGAATAGTATTAGGTATATCTTTCCTTTAAAATTGATTGTGTTTGATCACAGCAGTCCACTGATTATAAACTGTACCTTCCCTGAGGATATGAAAAAAGATTATGATAGACTCATCATACTAACCACAAATCCAAAGCCACAAATGCTAAAGGCAACTACATTAAGTGAATAGTAACTCTGAAATAGCTAATCGTAACTCAGAAATCTCAAGACCCAGAGTGCTGATTTAGCAGGTATAACTTTCCTGTTATGTTTCAAGAATCATCATATTTTCTAAATGAATAATTCGACTTCTTGGAGGAAATATACTAGGATTGCATCTTGGAATAACCAACGATGTTAGGAATTGGCTCAATCCTTTACAATTTCAAACCCTTAACCTTAAGTTTCCCAAGGGACATCATCCATAGGAAAAAGAGGAAAGCAAGAAATGACCCAGTACTCTGACTTTCAGAAACTTCAAATATACAAGTGCGGCAGAAAATTCTAGTCAAAGGCAGTAGAGATCAGGAACAGAACATAGAAGCAAGGAAGTCCTCCAGAACCAACTGCTCCTGCATTGCCAGACCCCAAATTATTCAAGGAGTGTTAGGCCACTGTCTGTACCCCCTACTCACGCAGCCCTCTGACTGCACTGCCAAAGCCTAAGCGGAAAACTTAATGTAACTTGATTCCTCGGGAATCAAGGAATACAGTTATTCCTTTCCCTCTGTGAAGAGTTACCCACTCTGATCTAATTCCTTAAAGCTTTAGGGGACATATCATAGGGTATGTTTTGGTTAAATTCCATTAGTCAGATGACATAGCAAATCCTATACATGTGTTACCTGTAATAATTTCTACATCTATGTAGTGTTTTAACAAAGCACCTTAAAATATGTGATTAATTCCATGTGATTTTCGTAAGGCTTTAGGTCAAGTATCAGAATTCAATATAATAAATAGAAATATTAGATGTTTTCAGAGAAATGAGTTTAAGAAATAAGAAGCTTACAAATTAACTAGAAATTTTGAAGCAATGAGCTCTAGACTGGGCCTCCAGGAATAACCACCAAACACAACAGAACTGAAACACCAGGAGGGCTGCTGATTCTGCCACAGTCAGAAGGTAAAAATCAAAAGGCTACAACTGAAACTATTATTAAGTCAAGAACATTCCGCTATGGACTCACAGATAATAGAAAACACACTAGTGGTTGCCAGTGGCAGGGATTGGGGGGCTACTATAGGCAATACAGAAGTTGGGGAGTGGGAGGTACAAACTATTGGATATAAGATAGCCTCAAGAATGTATTGTACAACACGGGGAATATAGCCAAGATTTTGTAAAGTAACCTTTAAATTTTTAATAAATTTTTTAAGTCTTTAAGTAAAATAAAACATTAAAAAAAGGACATTTTGCTATGGCTGTGACCTGGAAATGAGAAAGCATTTGCTGTTGTCACCTTAGCTATTTACATAAAGCCAGACACCAGAACACTCCTAGAGAAAAACCCCAAATCTTTACAATCCTTTTTCTGAAAGAAAAAAATAAAGATGCAGATCTCAAAAATATATAAGCAACTCCTGCAGCTTAATTACAGAAAAATAAATCACCCAATCAAAAAATGGGCCAAAGAACTAAACAGACATTTCTCCAAAGAAGACATACAGGTGGCTAACAAACACATGAAAAGATGCTCAACATCACTCATTATCAGAGAAATGCAAATCAAAACCACAATGAGGTACCATTACACGCCAGTCAGGATGGCTGCTATCCAAAAGTCTACAAGCAATAAATGCTGGAGAGGGTGTGGAGAAAAGGGAACCCTCTTACACTGTTGGTGGGAATGCAAACTAGTACAGCCGCTATGGAGAACAGTGTGGAGATTTCTTAAAAAACTGGAAACAGAACTGCCATATGACCCAGCAATCCCACTTCTGGACATACACAACGAGGAAACCAGATCTGAAAGAGACACGTGCAGCCCAGTGTTCATCACAGCACTGTTTATAATTGCCAGGACATGGAAGCAACCTAGATGCCCATCAGCAGACGAATGGATAAGGAAGCTGTGGTACATATATACCATGGAGTATTACTCAGGCATTAAAAAGAATTCATTTGAATCAGTTCTAATGAGATGGATGAAACTGGAGCCCATTATACAGAGTGAAGTAAGCCAGAAAGATAAAGACCAATACAGTATACTAACACATATATATGGAATTTAGAAAGATGGTAACGATAACCCTATATTCAAAACAGAAAAAGAGACACAAATGAAATGTACAGAACAGAATTTTGGACTCTGTGGGAGAAGGCGAGGGTGGGATTTTTCGAGAGAACAGCATGGAAACATGTATATTATCTAGGGTGAAACAGATCACCAGCCCAGGTTGGATGCATGAGACAAGTGCTCAGGCCTGGTGCACTGGGAAGACCCAGAGGGATCGGGTGGAGAGGGAGGTGGAAGGGGGGATAGGAATGGAGAATACATGTAAATCTGTGGCTGATTCATGTCAATGTATGGCAAAAACCACTACAATGTTGTAAAGTAATTAGCCTCCAACTAATAAAAGTAAATAGAAAAAAATAAAATAAAATAAAAAAATAAAGATGCAGGAAGATGACTGTCTTATTACTTTCACCTTATAAATCTTAAATAAATACATCTAAATGATAGGATCAAATTTTCTTCCCAATCTTAGTGGCAAGGCAGTCTGGGAAATATGGATTTTTAGCCTTCCAGCTTCTACAGGGCAAGAAGGCTAAGCAGAAGGAGTTATAAATGGACGCTGAGGATACACCAATCAGCCACACCACCATAGGGAGCTTATTGTTACTTCCATTTCACAGATGAGGAAACTGAGATTCAGAAACTTTAAGTGACTTGAACATGACTTCAATGTTAAATAAACTGAATCACCAGGGATAAAACCTAAGAATTTCTTTTTTTTTTTTTTTAATTTATTTATTTATTTATTTTTTTTTTTTATCACAACCATAGTGTATCTTTTTTTTTTTTTTTTACATGTATTCCCCATCCCGGTCCCCCCTCCCACCTCCCTCTCCACCCAATCCCTCTAGGTCTTCCCAGTGCACCAGGCCCGAGCACTTGTCTCATGCAAGAATTTCTATGCCATGACCAGAATACTTTCCAACTCTTTGTAACCCCAGGGACTATACAGTTCAAGGAATTCTCCAGGTCAGAATACTAGAGTGGGTAACCTTTCCCTTCTCCAGAGGATCTTCCTAACCCAGGGATCAAACCCAGGTTTCCCTCATTGCAGGCAGATTCTTTAGCAACTGAGCTATCAGGTAAGCCCTTCCAACATGCCATTTTGTATTAATTATGAGGAATTATTAAATTAGAAAAAGAAACAATTGATTATGCCTGTAAGAGGGACTAGCATTTCCTGATCAGTATTAGTTCATCTATCAGGCTATTATTATGGTTCAAAGAAATCAATTTAGGAAGAAGAATCCCTAGATATACAGCATTCCTTTGCAATGGATATTAAGCAGTTGATAAAGCTTAGGATATAGATGAAGCAAACCTGTAAACTTCAAGCTCTTGTCTTCCTTCAAATATTCAAAAATTACTCAAAACCTGAAAACAGAGAAAGGCAGTTGAAAAGGCAAAATTCATGTTCTTGATTTTTATCCCCACTCTCTCCCCAAATGAAAAGATTATTTGCAGAGATTTATAAAAATTCAAAGAGTAAAAGAAAAATTTTCTTATGTTATCTGAATTAAATTCAGAATTTCTATTTAAGATAAATGTATATATAAATATAAGTTAACTAAATACCGGTGAAATTATCTCTTAAAGATACACAGGCCTTAAAGATATAACTATACACTGCTATTGAATATAATTTGGCTTGCTTATCAGTTCTCTAAAACATATCTCTTCTTAGTAACCAGTTCATTTTTAAAAAATGAATTATTATCCATTTCTTTCCATGTGGATCTTAATTTAATTGCACATAGAATTTTAGATTAATTCTTAGCATATTCAAACTCATCCCAAATCTACTAACAGACATGCAGAAAATGGTTTTGCTGTCCCTTTACAAATCTCCACGGCAATGTTCAATGCTCCTTTTTGTGACTACCTCTTAAAGGGAAGCATTTTGGAAGAGGTTTCATGGGAGCATTTACAATAAATCTTTCCTGAGTTTCTCTTAAGTAGGAAAAAAAAATCCATTTAAGACAATGCTTTCAGGCAAAATGTTACCTGACTTCAGATTCAAACTTTTCATTTATTAGGGAAGAAGTGAAAACCTCGAGGGGGTGCTGAATCAGTCTATTCTGAGAGGTAGAAATGGAGAGACTACTTCGGGTAAATGGTGTCTCACTCAGGCAATAGAGAGAAGTCCCAGCCCTGCCAACGTTCTTTCTCCTGGAAATATCACCATTCTACTCCACTGGGAAGGTGTATTAATTCCATAATTGAGAAATGAGAAGACAACATG